CAGGTAAAGTAAAAAAGTGTCATCACCTTCAGCCTCCTTTCCCCTTCAGTCCTTCTGTCTTCTCAGTTTGCTGGATATCCCGTCAGATCTTCACCTATGCATTAAGGACATATATAGTATAAAGAAATGTGTGCCTATGTGTTTAGTACACAGTTTTTTTTAATACACTGTAAACACATGTAGGTATTCTGCATTTTGTTTTTACACTTAACAGTGTGTCTTCAGAGCTTTCTGTCTCACTCGCTTGAGCTACTGTGCACAGCATGGCTGCAGTTTGTCTTATATAATATCTTTGTTGCTGGACAGTTATTTCCAATATTTTAATTGTTTCTGCATTGCAACTTTTCTTTTTAGGGTGTCAAAATCTGAACACAATTGGGAGGTTGTGAAGTTGTTTTTTGTTTGTTTTGCTGTTGTTTTTACAGCTTGTATTGCAGAAAGTAGAAATAATGATTTTCTGTAATAAATAGGTAGGCATTTTATTTCATTTCATTGTTAAAAATATGTGGTCTCTTAAAAAGGATATCCTTCATGGGTAGATATTATTATTTGAAATTTCTATATAATATTTAACACTTCTAGATATTTGAATTGCATAAATTCCCACTGAATAATGAGGCAAGAAAATTTATATGCTGCTTTAATGTGATAAAAACAAAACAATATACGGAAGTAAATATAAAAAAAGGAAAATATCATTTCCTCTCTGATTCTAAAGTTAATACCTACATAGAAATGACAAAAACTTTGGAAAAGAAAATATAAATCATTCCCAAGTTTTACCCCTAGTAGGCATTATTCACCTTTAGCATTTTGGTGACTGCTCTTCCACGTGTGTGTGTGTATGTGTATATTTCTATACCAAATCTAATCAGATACAAATTTATGAGTATGCATTATTGTGTGTGTATACAGTGCAGGCATCTTTCTCTCAACATGTTTTTCACATGTGTGGAATGTATATATACATACATGCAGATATTTGTATGTAATTGTATATGTGGATTATGTTCTACATGTTATTCTACAGTTTTTTCACTCAGCAGTGGGTCATAAAGATATTTTCATGCCATTGAATACAGATATAATCAGCCTTTTAATGTCTGTGTACCATGTCTCTCTGTAGATATACCTGATTGATTCTGATCAGTTACATGGCAGCAGTGGGTCTCAAATGGGCTTTGGTTCTAGGGAGTACTCTGGGCCAGAGGCCCTGTGTAGCCTCCTAGTGGGGGCACTAAGGAGTGGTTGAGGGTTAAATGGCTTTTCTTGGCAGATGTGGTTTTCTTTGGTGGCTCTTAGTGTCAGTAAGGAGAGAGCTTCCAACAATAGGGCTAAAGGAGTAAGTTCCTTTATGGAGTGTGGGGCTTGAGGTGTGAGACGACAGGATTGGCCGAGGCTTTAAAATGAAAGGGAATTACGCATGTTGAGATGGGATTGACAGAGAAGATAATGGAAACAGTTGAGGGCATCTGGTTCAGGTCAGCAGAGCAAAGGAGAAAATAGAGGAGAGACATATCAGTTGTGGAAAGGAAGGGACTTCTTGCAGAGTTGGCTACTGATGGCCTTGCCCTCGTGGGTTTGGCATTCATTAGTAGACGCAGTCTAGAATGGCACTTGCCATTTGGAACTTAAAAATAAACATGATGTTTGTTCTTTGATCTCACAACTTAGACGAAGTGAAATGCAGGTGGCTAGGAGGCTACTATTTAGTTTTCTTACTTCCTTTTTAAGAAAAAAAAAGCATTCTATTTGTAATTTTTGTTCTACTTCCTTATTCCTTACAGAGCACTCTCAGGCACTTGGCTATCAGCCAGTCAGTTTTTTAAAAAACTTGTATGTTTTTGTTTAAAGAGTGTGTGGTCTATCCTTTACTAGAGTATCGTTCTTTCTTTCTTCCCCCCTTTATTTTTAAGAATCACTGACTGGAAAAACTGCCAAGGCATTATTACTGTAGAGTGACCCAAATTAACAAGCTCTCACAGTATAGGAAAGCACCCTGCATGCCAATATATGAGTCAGAAAACCTGGTCCAATTTTACCCTGCTAAGTGATTTAACCTTTGGAGCAAGGCTTTATCCAAGATACCCGTTTGTGGAGTGGTGTAGAAAAAGAATATGTTTGGGGGGTGCTTATTAATAATTTATCGTATAGCACATCAAAAGTAGAGTTGAACTAGTATCACCACACGATCTGCATTTTTGCTCTGCTTTGTTAGGGGCTAGACCAGAATTGTTTTCTCTTCTCGCTGTTGTACACACACACACACGCTCAGTCTTTGTGATAGGCTTATATACTACATTTAAAGTATGAAGTATGCCTTAAAATAACATGGCATTCATTAAGTTAATAAACGTATTGAATGAAGGCACTCTCATAGATATTGGTTATATGAAGATAAATAACACATGGTCCCCACCCTTAAAGAAATTATTGTTTAGACGAGTGAGACAGAAGTTTATGCTAGAAGAATATGGAAATTATGGAAGATAACAGGCAAAAGAGGAGTAGTCAGTTCTACTACGGGGTTGGGATGCCTGAAAAAGCTTAGCAGGTGATTTTTGAGAGAGAGTTGTACACTACATAGAGGGGGAAGAGGTGGGGTATGGGGGTAGGTGATGCTCAGTTCAGTCCAGAGTTGTTACCAGAGCCGTAGAGGCCTGAGACATGATGACACTGCAAATAGCTTCATATGGCTAATATGAAGGGTATGTATGGAGGAGTGGAAGGAGATGACACTGCAGAGGTAGTTAGGGGAGTTTGAATGTTATCTAGAAGATTTTTAAATGGCTAATTAATATTTATTAATTAAAATTAGGGAAAGATTGTCTGGCAAGTCAGAGGAGACAATATTCCAAGCAGAGAGATCAGTTTACAGCTGTTAAAGCAATGTAGATGGAAGTGCTATGGGCTTAGAATCTCAAACTATGTGATTCAAAATTAAAATGAAATTGAGGAAGATAAAGGTGTAGAAACAGTAAGACATGTGACTGATTTTGTGTGTGAGTTATATGAGAGGGAGGAGTTAGGATGATTTCCAGATTAGTCTGTCTTGGGGGATTTTTAGAAGATGCCAGTGGCCATTTGAGGAGAAGCTGGTTTAAGAAGGAATGATAGGGCTTCCCTGGTGGTGCAGTGGTTAAGAATCCGCCTGCCAATGCAGGGGACATGGGTTTGAGCCCTGGTCCGGGAAGATCCCACATGCCGTGGAGCAACTAAGCCCGTGCACCACAACTGCTGAGCCTGCGCTCTAGAGCCTGCGTGCCACAACGACTGAGCCCACGCGCCACAACCAATGAAGCCCACGTGCCTAGCCCATGCTCCGCAACAAGAGAAGCCACTGCATTGAGAAGCCGGTGCACTGCAACGAAGAGTAGCCCCCACTTGCTGCAACTAGAGAAAGCCTGTGTGCAGCAATGAAGACCCAACGCACCCAAATACAGATTTAAGTATTTTATTAAAATTAAGAAATACTTAAAAGATACAGATAAATATAATTAGTTAACCAACTTGTGTACCCACTATGCAGTTCATTTAACTTTTTATTTTTAAATAGTTATCAACTCAGGAAGTTATGAAAACGGTATAGAGAGGTCCTTCTGTATAGCCTTCACTCAGCCTCCTCCAGTCACTTGTTCAGTTTAACAAATGTCCTGGACTGGTACAAATGCTAATGTTTTGGGATATATTATGGAACTGTGCAGGTAGTGTGAATATGGATTCTGTACCCCTATGTGGTGCAAACCTGGAGTTTTGATTCTCATAAGAGCCTCTCTCCTTCCACCTGGGGCAGGGCAGATAGCAACCTTTCTTGCTGCTTCTCAGGACGCATAGGTGGAGCTTTTCTAGCTCCTTTTCACATATTGAGGAGCCCTTTTGAGGATCTTGGCTCAAAACAGGTTTTACTTCTAGGTCCCCCCTGAAATAGGCTCAAAATCAGGTCTTCTATCTCTGTGGGCCAATATCTCCCTAGATTGCCTTGGTGTCAGCTGGAGCTTACATCTTTGAGTTTCTTCCTTTCCGGCACCTGAGAATTCCCCCTCCCTTCCCCTTTTTTGAGTTCAGTTATATATTTTTATAATTTTTCATGTTGATCTTGCATTTCAGTGAGTGCATTTGGGCACGTGGATGTATTAGTTCAATCTGCCTTGTTCCTTGAATCAGAAGTCTAATAAACTATTTCTTATTTCTTAATTTTATTCTCTACATTGTCCATAAAAAGGATTTGAGGTTGCATTATGTTATTCTCGTTAAAAATATTATTTATTTTTAAAATGGATAATACATGCATGCATGTATGCATGTGGTAGTCTACATGTGTCCCTTTGTCCTGTTCCCACCCAGTTTGCCTTCACAGGTACAACCAGTTACCAGTCTCTTATATATCCTAGAGATAGACCATGCACTAGTTTATTCTTTAACAGCAGCTTTAGTGTTTATAATTTAATCTTGTAACCAATATTCAGGAGTTTTCCGTCTGTTTGACCAATAACAATTCTATTTTCTTCTTTTCTGAGAGCTTTTGAAGGAGAATTTTATACTAGTTATATGTTACGTGTATGTTTATGTACATGTGCATGGATTATCTGTGTTTTAACTTTTGTTCATTTCAGAAATCCCTCGAAATGTGACAGAAAATGACAAAATAATGTAGACTGTTGATTCAAATGTTTTAAGTCACTACATGGAATATTAAAATAATGGAACAATAGCCCTAATTTTTGGGAGATAGTAGAAATGATATTTTAAGATGTTGGAATCTTATGAAACACAATGAGGATATCCTTAAAAATTGTCCTAATTACTAACCAGTACATGCTATTGTTTGCATATGCGCAAATAATCGCCTATAGAAATGATGGGTCTGTCAAAGATGAAGCCCTCTCTTAGGTTCCTCGGCCACGATATATACCATTGATTGCCTAACTGCAGCTTGGTGAAATTCAGTGACATGGAAGCAAGAAATGGAAGCCTATGACCTGATATGTTTTCTTCCTTAGATCAACCTCTCTACTTCTCCTACACCTGCACAGTTAATAAGCCGTTCCCAGGCTTCCAGTTCTACCAGTGGCAGTATTACCCAACAGACTATGTTACTAGGGAGTACCTCCCCTACCCTAACGGCAAGCCAAGCTCAAATGTATCTCCGAGCTCAAATGGTAAGATATGAGCTACCAGATTTTTTCAGTGTTTAAAGACTTGAGAGAGATCAAAATGTTTCTTGATTTGATGCAATAGGAGGCATTTTTAATATTTAAGAAATGTTTAACAAAATTTTTGTGTATGTGCCTATTTCTTATACATTTATGTCATGAAAAATTCTACCTTTAATTGGTAGGCCTTCTTGGTGTATCAAATAGTAATTAGCAGCATTAGGGAGCTAACAGATTCTGTAACATAGGAGTGATTAATTTTTAATATCAAATTTCTTTGATTTCAAACCCTTTTTCATATTTTAACATCTCTGAAACTGAGATGCATTTTATAATTGATGGCATCTTACGGTTGTAGTTGGTGCTTGTAGTGATACATAAAATCACCGTATATCTTTGACATCTTAGATTTGATGAAATTGTTAGAAACATAAAAAACTTGGTTGTTAACTATAAATTAGAATTTATATTGTGGGATCTTCTGAAATCTGGATTGGAGTTCGTGATAATTTACCAGATGAGTCTTAGCTTTGGTTATTCCCGTCTTAAAATCTGCAAGGTGATTTGTGTTCCTGTGCTCACTTTGATCTTTTGTTAATACAGGAATGTTAATTTGGCTATTGTGTTATCTACTGATTTCCTAATTTACTTGTTGAGCCTTCTTTAAGGAATGTAAAAATTGGTTGACATTTACTTTATTTGATGTCTTTACAGGTAGCTAGAGAAGAACTTTGTCCCTGATATGTATTTATTTATATTCTTTTTTATCCAGTGAACTGAATATATATCTGGATCCCCAGTTCTACACTAAAATTGCAAAGAAGGTTTCCATCATATTTCTAACAGGAAACAATGATATGACCCTCTTTTTATTTACAGACTATTCAATAGACATTACCATATTTCTGGGTTTTTTCCCCATGAGATCTTATTTAATCAGTAATATACTTCAGAATTAGGGAGAACCATTTGAAATGGTTGCTACTGGACCGTTTTTGACTTCTAAAACTGTCAGTTTCATATGGTTCACGCTAGATAGAACATCTTTTTAGGTATAGTGCTTTTAGCTGTTTGTACTGGAAATTACTTTCTTGTGAAAGTTATACTTGTTATTTAATTCACTTAAATTTAGTATGTAAAGAACTGAAGTTTAAATGATCCTTTAATTGGTAATTTTAATTTAAACAGAAATGGCTTTTGAGGAACTGTATAACTTGATGCAATTTTGAGATAGAGTATTCACAGGTTCTTTGAAACAACTGTCATAATTTACTAAATTGGATTGGATAATCTCTGAGTGGATTGTATTGCCTTTTTTAATTAATGGCATTCTGTTTCAGTATTGAAAAAAAAAGTATTTGAAAAGAGATGGTGATAATTAAATAAATCAAGTATGTCTTTCCTTTCTTTTTCTTTTTTTTTTGATGTGAAGTTTTTTTTTGCAGGCTGCTTTGTTGTTGACTTTTAACATGTTGTGGCATTTACATTTAGAATGAATATTTCTTTACAAATAGTTTTAAAATCAAGAGCAACCTAGGTTTGTACTACACAGATCCTGTGTAGCTGAGTGAAATATTGTAACGTAGCATGTGGCATAGTTATCCTTTGGGGTAAAGAGGACTGAAAAGACTTTTTGGTGTTTCTTTTCATGTTTCTCACTGAAATTTAGTTTGCATTCAAGAGCAGTGACTATGGTTGCCTATTCTAACTTCCATTTTAGGAATCCTGCCACAATAGTTTTGAGCTGGGAAAAGTTTAAGTATAATAGCTTATTTGGGGAAAAATTTGGTATGAGGATTTCATATTGCCAAAATACATTTTTGAGCACTGATTTATTTTCTACTCATCAGAATCATGAGCTGTTTCAAAAATGTTTCTGGTTTTTTTTTTTCCTTTTGAGTTCTCTATTATCAAAAAGTTCTCCTTGTCATGTAAGACCTTTTGCTTAGGAGACAATCCTAAACTGCATTGTCTTTCTGTCACAAATTTCAGTCTCTCTTGCCTGCTATACATTGTGTGTGGGACATGTTCTTTTGTCTTAGGGTATTTTTTTGGTTTTTCTGTCTGTACAGCTGATTTTCACACCCGCTACCACTGTGGCTGCTGTACAGTCTGACATTCCTGTTGTCTCGTCGTCATCGTCATCTTCCTGTCAGTCTGCAGCTACTCAGGTGAGCTTGTCTAGCTTCATAATGTGGTACTTAAGGTCTGGGTCTTCAGGCTAAAGGTAAACATACATTTGTGTTTAAGTTACTGATAGTTTCAGTGCTCTTTGTCACACATTTCAGATCAACATTTAATCCAGTGAGAACTTCAAGAAAATTTTTTGGTTTTATAGAAATTATAATGCCATTAAACAGGGATATTTAGGTTATTTGACATTAGTGAAAGTTAATACGTTTTGCTGTGACATTGTATGTTTAGTTTTATTGTAAAGCAGATTTATTATGTGAGATGTATTCTTTAGATTCCTTTGTAAGCAGTTAGGTAATAACCTTGTCACGATGGCTTTTAAATTTAAAAATGAGCTGGGTAAACTTTAAACTTAAAAAATTGAGCAGAATGTTACTCAGTTTTTTGTTTATACTTTGTTTGGTACTATGGAAAAAATGAACTTTAATTTTCTCCTTACACCATTCACAAAAATAAACCAGAAGTAATGTAGACCTAAAGACAAAAGACAAAACTATAAAACCTCTAGAAGAAAACATAGGGGATATCTCTACAACTCCAGGGTAGGCAAAGCTTTCTCAGATAGGACACAAAAAGCATTAACTGTAAAAGAAAAGAATGATAAATTGGACTTTATCAAAATTTAAAAACTGTTCTTCAAAAGGCATTGCTACAAAAACAAAGAGGCAAAGCCACAGACTGAGGGAAAGTGTTCACAATACATATATCTGACAAAGGACTTGTATTCAGAATATATAAAGTGGGTTTACAACTCAGTAATAAGATCATGAACAGTTCAGTTAAAAATGGGCAGAAATTTGAACACTTCACAGAAGATATGCGAAAGGCCAAGAAGCACATGAAAAAATGCTCGACATGATTAATATTCCTAGAAATATAAATCAAAACCACAGTGAATATCACTACACACTCACTAGAATGTCTGAAATGAAGGAGACTGAAAATGCCACATTTTGGCGAGAATGTGGAGGAACCATACTATCATATGTGGCTGGTGAAAGTGTAAAAGAGTACAACCACTTTGAAAAAGTTTTCTTATAAAGTTAAACATATGCTTAACATGTTACCCAGCAATTCCACTTCTAGATGTTTACCCTGAGAGATTTGAAAACATATATCCACATGAAGATGTTTAAATGAATGTTCGTAGCAGCTCTATTCAGAATAGCCCCAAACTGGAAGTAACCACTGTCTTTTAACTGGTGAATGGATAAACGTATTGTGGAATATTACTCAGAAATAAAAAGGAAGAAACTACTGGTACATCTCAGAAACATTATAATTAGTAAATGATGCCAGACATCACAGAGTGCAATACTCTGCGACTCTATTTATATGAAATTTCTGAACAGGCAGAACTAATCTATAGTGAAAAAATGGATTTGTGCTACCTGAGGCAGAAGGTGGGGGCGATTGACTGGGAAGGGGTATGAGTGATGGAAATGTTCTATATCTTGATTGGGGTGGTGGTAACATGGTATATACATAACGTCAAAACTTATTGAACTGGTTCATTCATTTTATTGTAGGTAAGTCACACCTCAGTAAAGTTAATAAAAATGAATGAAATTGAGTACATTTTAAATTAAAACAGTTGAGTAGACTTTTATATTGTATGATACCATTTTGATATTTTTCCATAGATAATGTTTTGGATTGCATATGGCAGAAATTGGTATATCTCAAGGTCATCCTTGGCTTCGAATTTTTAATTTAATAATCTCAGTCATCTGGTAAAAAGTAAAAAATGAGATAGCAATAATATTCTTTGGTATTTTTCATAGAATCTCTATTTTATTTAATAACAAAGTCCAATTTTCATATATCAGCATATAAAGATGGTGATCATTTAAACTCCGGTTTCTCATAATGTGCTCTGTGACCCTCTATAGTTCCTTAACTTATTTGGACTTCAGTTTCCATATTTACAAAATGAGACTTTTGTTAACTTTAAGGTTTTTTCAGCTCTAAACTTTAAATGTCTCTTTGTGGAATGAATTTGTTGAAGATATTATCTTCCTGTTTGTTTTGTTTTGGTTTGGTTTGGTTTGGTTTTATAAAACCTGTCAACTTCCAGAATGATAAAGTGGCATGGAGCTAGGCGTGTGGTTGCCATTGAAATTACATGCATGAAGTCCTGCATGGGCTTAAGTTCAACTCCCACTGCAGTCATTTATTAGTTGTATGACTTGAGATAAGTTACCAAACATCTCTAATAGTCATACATACTTGCAGGGTAAGTTGAAGAGTGAGTAATATATGTTTAGTGTCTAGAATATTGTAGGTACTCATTAGTACTTTTTCTGCAAAGGGGAGAATAGGAAGACCTGGGTTTATATTCTGACTTCAGCAACAGTTGCTTTGTCACTTGCCAGTTGATTGATTTTGGGTAGGTCATAGTATAGCATGGTGTTTATAAGTTTGGACTCTGGAGCCAGATTCTCTGGATTCAAATACATGTTCTACCACCTTCTCATTGTATGTCCTTAAATCTCAGTTTCAACAATATAAAATAAAATAAATGTATTGCTTCGTAGGGTTGTAATGAGGATTAAACAGAACAGTGTCTGTTACCTAGTGAGCACTCACTAAATGTTAGCTGTTATTACTTATGCTAAGCCTCAGTTTCTTCACTGTGAACTGGAAGTAATAGCTCAGAGTTGTTATAAGGAATAAATGAGACAGTAATCATAAATAAAGCACTCAGCATAGTGCCTGGCACATAAGATATCACATGCTACTAATTACTGTTTTTGTTATGCACTGTCTAAAGATGAGTCATGAATTTGGTTCTTAGCTTTCATGTAGCTAGTAGTGAAGAGAGAAGCTCAACCATTTAAAGGATTTGCAGTTTCCAAGGTAAAATAAACCAGTTATTAGGAAAATACAACTAACAAACTCTCTAGAGCACAGTCTGTTTTGTGGGTTCTCATAGTCAAAGTAATTTGTAGAATTAGCTCTTTGGGGTCCAGTTTGATGTGTATAGGTATGTGGCTTTCTAATAATCTGACTCAATTCAAGGATAGACTGAGGAACTAGAGGGATGGATTGACCTTTAGGAACTTCTCTACTAATGTTTTTCTTTGCTGTGCTTTAGAAGTGGCAGTGAATGAGGCTGACAGTGGTAGGTGATGCTAATATTTTGAATATTCCAGTGGTAACTTTCCTCAAGTTCAGGGCTGTTAGTTTTGAAAAATTTGTGCTCTACTTTGTTAATTTTTAAACATATATTTGCAGTTTTTAAAACATTTAATTTGTTTGTAATTGAGAAATACCAAATTTGAAGTTTTATTTTAGTACTCTTTAACTGACAAAAGTCAGTATAACAGTTAATTTTTCCTCAGTATTAAAATTTATAGCATACTGTAAAAAAATGAGAAATTTGGAATATCTTACCATTTTAAATGCTCCATCTCTTCTCCTTATCATGAAAAAAAAATGCGACTTTCAGAAAGATATCATAAGACTAAAAGTATGTTATAGAAAAGTAAGAAATCTTACCAAGGCTCTCTGGGCAATTCTGTAAGAATTGAGGAGAAAACAGCCTTTTAAATTTAAAAGCTAGAAACAGTTCTACTGCTGGCAGTGTGACATGAACTCTTAATTTCCTTATGTACAAAGAAGAGATCCTATGATAATTCACACATTATTTGTTAGATCCAAATTAAAAAACTGAAGTGAGGGTATTTGGATAATCCACTATAAAAATGTAAGGTGTGAAATTAGCAAAGATACTTTGTGGGAAATCTAGACTTTTTCAAAAGTCAGAAAGTTTCCCCAAACTGATCACAGGAAAAGTTCAGATGAAATTAAAGTTGGGCATTAGATGCCATGATATTCTTTATCTTAGAAAGGGTGGGTTCTTTTTAAAAGTGAAGCTCTGTCAAGGAAATCTGAATATGTGATCTATTAACAGCTCAGTTAGCTCTGTATATGCTTTAGGAGTATAGTTTACATGTTTGAAATTTATTGTAAATATTTAAGCCAAGATGACCATAGATAGTAAAGCCATATACTAAAATTTATCTATTCATATAAATAACATATGGTATATAATACGCACATGCATACGTTTTCTTTCAGAATTCCAGAAAACGAAAGGAAAATTAGAAGAAAAATATATTATTCTATAGAAATGGACTGCTACAGCTTAAGGGTTCACTGTGTCAGATCTTCATTTACTTTGAATATGCTTTTCCTTTGAAGGAAAGCTTTTGTTTTTCAGGTTATAGTTCAGACCTTGATTACCATCATTCTGTGGTCCACCTTATACATTATTTATGGCAGATGTTAAATTTCTTGCTGTTTTTCCCTTGCTTCCTGAGAGATTTTAATATTCCTCTGCTAGACATTTGTTGAGATTTCTTTTGGTAAAACATGAACAGATTTTAATGTTAGCTTAAGAAAACCATAAATAAAACAAGATACTTAACAACAACAAGAGCAACAAAATCCATGCAATACATTTTTCAGAATCAGATATAGGAGAATACCTCAGACTTGTGTAGTTTCTGTTATGTCTGCAGCCGGAATTGCGGGGAGTACAAAAATGAATGTCAGAGATGAGAGCCTGCCAGTCAGAGTCTCAGTATTTCACAGACACAGACATTAGTAATTCTAAACCAAGCTAGATGTTTGTCATTGGTATAGGCCACTATGATCCAAATTCTATGGGAAAAGCATAGAGGGGAGGAGAAATTATTTCTAACCAGGGACTTCGAGAGGTTTCTTTGGGAGAATGGGTAGGAATTTTAATGGTCTTGAGCACTGTGTTGGGCTTCAAGAGACAGCGTTGAGGAAAGAGGAATTTGAGCAAGGGCTCTAAATGAAGACAGTGCAAGGTATGTTTGGAGAAGGGTGAGCAGAACAGTTTGGCTAGAGTATGAGGATTGTGAAATAAATAGTGGAAAAAGGGACTCAAAGCAGTTTGGGCCCAGACTGTGGAGGGCTTTGAGTGGCAAGCTGAGAAATCTGGATTTTAGCATATTTTATCTTTGCATTAAATTTCAGTAATACAGCAGTAATTAGTCCATTTACAATGCTGTGAAATATTTGACAAAAATCAGAGAAGTTGCTCCATATGATCTCACTTAGAAAATTCTTTCAGTAGCTTAGAATAGAACTGATTAAAACTTCAGCTGCCCTGAAGTAAACATTTATTCAGCATCTGCTGTTGGCTGAACACTGCATTGGTACTTGGAAAGAGAAGGTATAGAGCATCAGTTAATGATACAGCTGTAGAGACAGAACAGACATGAAACTGAAGAACATCCATAAAGCAGCAATATATTTGTTACTTTAGAATCTCTCTTACTTCAGTTTCCCTCCCAGGGTCAGTGCTAGCATAAATGTTTTAGGTGCATTCATTTCTGAGGCAAAAGGTTAGGAAGCTATTGGAGAGGCATTTTTGCCTTGCTGTTTGAAAATGTTATAGACCTCAGGTGAGAGTAATTGGGATAATCCTTGCCACCATCCAGACTGGCAGTGTGTTTAGCATAGCCCCGATATAGATAGGAGTCATCATGTAAACCATTTCAAGGCCATGCACGATGTCTTTAGTTCATGGGATCTAGTTCTCAAAGGCAAATGAGTGTTTCATAACCACCACAACAAAATCTCACTAACTCTTTAAAGTTAGTTAATAGGAAATGCTTTTCATAATTATCACAATGGGGTAGGTGATTTCATGAATTTGTCTTCTTACTTAGAAGATTAATGTTCCCTTATAATCTCTATAGACCTATTAACTTGCTTTTTTTGTTATCTTTCTGATCTTTATTAAGATAGCAATATTATATCCACACTATCCTAATTGTGCGTAGTAATTTCTCACAAGTTTATGAGGGACTTGTAGCCTTAAAATGTTTCACAATCCTGTCATGGAGAACTCAGTGAAGTAGAAGGAATTGCTCATTCTTCCCTCCACACCCTGGGCTCTCCCACCTCTGCAGCTTTGCTCAAGTTTTCCTTTTTGCCTGGAATGCTCTTCCTCGTTCTCCTTCCTTTTGACTGTCTCTGACCTGGTAACTTTAAAATGCAGTATGTTGCAGAGTAATTTCCTCATATTGATAGTTCATTTGCAATATATATATGTGTGTGTATATATATATATATTCTATTTTCATTTAGTTCTTAACGATTCTTTTCCTTAATGTCTTTTTAAAAAAATTGCCACTTAATGTTTAAGATATGATTACTTAGAATAATAGCTCCCCTTTCCTTCAGGGTTAATTAGTTGTTTCAAGTGCTTGTAGCTTTATGCATAATATAAAAAGCATAATATAAATGTGTTGTCATTGTTGTTATAATGGTAGTGATTACCACATCAATTAATACCATCTGTTTCATCCTTATTTTTTGTTATGTGGTTCTTAGGTTCAGAATTTAACATTACGCAGCCAGAAGTTGGGTGTATTATCTAGCTCACAAAATGGTCCGCCAAAAAGTACTAGTCAAACTCAGTCATTGACAATTTGTCATAACAAAACAACAGTGACCAGTTCTAAAATCAGCCAACGAGATCCTTCTCCAGAAAGTAATAAGAAAGGAGAAAGTCCAAGTCTGGAATCACGAAGCACAGCTGTCACCCGGACATCAAGTATTCACCAGTTAATAGCACCAGGTGGGATAAAGCTTTTGTTGAAAACAGTTGCATTATTCATTTTCTTAGCAGGCAGAGCAAAACAAAAGATGTCCATTACTTGAACGAGAATACTTTTAAAACATTTTAAAATGTGAATTTTATAAGTTAACAAAAGAACAGTAGTGTAGCTTGAAAAAAGAGAAATCAAAAGAGCCCAACAGCTAAAACAAATTATAATAATAAAATAGATTTTTTGGATCAGTTGACATTTGATTAACATCTTCATCATGTGCTGGTCTGCTGTTATGTCGATAAAACCTTTTAGCTTTAAAATAATTTGCCTGTGGTTTGTTTAATGTGCTTTAGTGGAACAAAATTAAAAGCTTTTTAAAAAAAGCAAGTATGTATTTTTCTTTAACATTGTCATTAGTGGAAGGAATTTATCAGTTTCCAAAAATAAGGATTATGCATAATTATTTTCCTCACCATGTTGCTATTTTTCCATCTTTGATTTCATCTCTGAGAGGCAAATGTCCGGGAATCAACTAAGTCGTTTTCATTTTCATCAGCCTTTGAATCCCATGTGTGCTCCCTCTGCCATCTACAGATAATGTTGCTTCATGGTTCTCATGCTGGAAATTCTGGGGCCGTGCAGACTGAGTTTCCTTACCGTGTCTTCTGTTCATCTCAGAATTTCTCAGTGTTGAGCTTTCTTCACTTCTAATAGGATAAGGAATTATCTGCTTTCTTCTTTAAAGTTAGCACTATTTCCTTGTGTCATTGATTGCATCTTTTTTACTGACTCCTGACCTTCTTTCATAGTTATTATAGCATCTTTTGTCTCCCTCATGCTGGATCCTTTCTTTTGCTTCTTAAGCATACTTAGATCTCTCCTATTCTTAATATATCTACATATGGTTTTTGTTTGTTTGTTTGTTTTGTTTTTGTTTTTTTTGGTACGCGGGCCTCTCACTGTCGTGACCTCTCCCATTGCGGAGCACAGGCTCCGGACGCGCAGGCTCAGCGGCCATGGCTCATGGGCCCAGCCGCTCTGCGGCATGTGGGATCCTCCCAGACCGGGGTATGAACCCGTGTCCCCTGCATCGGCAGGTGGACGCTCAACCACTGCGCCACCAGGGAAGCCCTCTACATATGTTTTTATACCAGTTTAACTATTGTTTATTGAAAGTGTGTGTGTGTGTGTGTGTGTGTGTGTTGTGTGTGTGACGCACTGGGCTAGATACCTCACATATGTTACATTAAAAAAAAAAATCTTCCTTTGATCCAGCCTCATCAGGTAAGCATCTTCTTTCTATCCTTTTATAATTATGCATTACTTTTTTTCTTTTTTTCGCATTACTTTTTAAAGATTCATTTTACACTGCTGAAGGTTGCCTTTTCTCTTTTTATGTTTCTTCTGTGCTGATATTGCCAACATTCTCTGTATCACGCAATCTCAAGATCTTGGAATTGTTTGATTCCCCTAGTTAGAAATCTCTCCTTCTGAACTTGTATAGCATTTAAAAAATATTTATTTATTTAATTGTCTGCACTGGGTCTTAGTTGCAGCATGCGGGGATCTTTTAGTTGCAGCATGTGGGATCTTTAGGTGCGGCATGTGAACTCTTGGTTGTGTCATGTGGGATCTAGTTCCCTGACCAGGGATCGAACCTGGGCCCCCTGCATTGGGAGTGCGGAGTCTTAACTGGACCACCAGGGAAGTCCCTTGTATAGCATTTTTATATTTCTTTGTGGTACTTTTTCTTTTATAGTTATTTATATACTTATTGATCTTAGCTTTTCTACTAGACAGTAAGTAAGCTCTTTGAGGGTAGTGTCAGGTACTTTACATTTATTAAGTCTTTTAATCCTTTTTCAGATTAACCTTTTCATTCTTTTATCTTGACAGCACCAAGTTATGCCTTATATGTACTTATATCTATAATAGGTGGACAATAGTAAATATTTGTTGGATTAATAGTTGATTTTTTTTTTCCATTTGGATTTTGGAAGTTATAGCACAGTTTTTTCCATTTGTACTAACTAGGTATCACTGGTTAGAATTCTTCAATCTGAATCTTAGATAAGTGAAGGGTTTGTTAGAATGTATAAATAATAAATCCACTCATAGTATGGTTAGATGTGAATTCTTTTTTATAAACATCTGTGTGCAAGGTCCTGCTATCTATATGGCATGATAACAGGATTTTTGTACTGTATTGTCCAGAGTATTCTTAGCCTCAAACCAGCCTCTGGCCACTGTTTTTCTTTGTTTTGTTTTCTGTTTGGCTGCGCTCCATGGCTTGTGGGATTTTAGTTACCCAACCAGAGGTTGAACCCATGCCCTCGGCAGTGAAAGCGCAGAGTCCTAACCATTGGAACGCCAGGGAATTCCCTGGCCAGTGTTGATGGAAGGAGTTAGTGTGGAGAGGCAGTGACCCACTGTGCTTGGAATGACTGCTCAGGGGACAATTTATATTGATTTATATAGTTTTGATAGATTATAATGGAGGGTAGGTTAATATCCTTTCAAAGAGAAAGGTAGGAACTCTTTCAGGGTTAGTTCAAGCAAAGAGATCTGCTTTTGGATTTTCATTCCCCCTGAACTCACAATATCTGGTTCTAAGTTAACACTTATTCTTCCCCTTTTCATTGATAGTGTGATAATATCTTTCTAGTTGCCTTCCTCTGATGGCCAATATTTTATGTAAGTATGGAGGAGACCAGTAAGCTAAAACCATCTAAGAGTAAGAGGGCCTTACACCATCCTGAGACTTCAGGACAATTGCAATTCCAGATTTAGAGCTTATGTGTATTAACCAAACTCCAGTTTTCTGTGGTGTTACTTTTTAGAAATAAAACCAAATGGAACACCCTAAGCCACATAAACCTTTGCAGCTTCCAAACTTAAAAATTCAATTTTAACTTAAAAATGCAGTTATTCAAAGCAATTTGTATCTTCTGGCAAGGCAGCAGTTATAATTTTTCTACTCTTTTAGTTTTTCTGCTCTTGTTGGTATGGAGTTAATCTGAAGCTAAGATTTTTTTTTTTTTTTTTTTTGAGGTTCTTGAATTGGTAATTTGTCCTTTTCTTCAATTAGAAAAATGCTTGCTCCTGCAGGTCACTTTCAAGTATTAAAAAATCTGCTTGTATTCTAACATACTATAGTCTAGTAATTATTATAATAGACATATAACAGGCATGGTTATTATTTCCTTACATGTATTTCTAGGGTGCTAACATCATTTAGTTTTCTTCATCATTTCTTCTTGAGGGTGGAATTCCCACTTGATATTTATTAATCCTATTTTTAATATATAAAATAAAGGCAAACTTTAACCAAATGTCTGGAAATTATCATGAACTATATTAGAGCTCAGTCTTTAGAGCTTTTATGAAATAAGTTAGAAAAAATATGCATCTTTTTTTGCAGACATTAATCCAGTATGTAGTGAAAAGACTAATTAGTCTGCTTAGGCTATCATAAAAAAATACCATGGCCTAGATAGCTTAAACCAGGGGTTCCCAACCCCCAGTCCACGGACCAGTAGCAGTCCTCGACCTGTTAGAAATCAGGCCACACAGCAGGAGGTGAGCGGCAGGCGAGTGAGTAGTGAAGCTTCATCTCCCGCTCCCCATTCCTCATTGCTCACATTACGGCCTGAACCACCATATCTGCCCCCCTCCCCGTCCCTGGAAAAATTGTCTTCCATGAAAGTGGTCCCTGGTGCCAGAATGGTTGGGTACCACTGGCTTAAGCAACAGAAATTTATCTTCTCACAGTTCTGGAGGCTGGGAAGCTCAAGATCAAGAACTGGCAGTGTTTGGTTTTTGGTGAGCGCTCTCTTTCAGGCTTGCAGATGGCTGCCTTCTAGTGTGTCCTCATACAGTCTTTCATCTGAGTGCAAGAAGAGAGGATATCGAGTTCTCTTCTGTCTCATCCTGTTGGGTCAGGGCCTCACCCTTTTGACCTCATTTAACCATAATTACTTCCTTAGAGGCCCCCTTACCAAACACAGTCACATTAAGGGTTAGGGCTTCAACATGAATTTTGGGGGACACATACATTCAGACCATAAGAGGAACCTAGACTCAGCTAAGACTGTGGATTCTTTTATACCCAGCGCTGCCTCTTAATAGCCAGGTGATTTTAGGCAAGTCACTTCACTACTGAAAGTTTCTTCACTTGAAATATACTGGATTAGTATAGTACCCTATGTACTTCATGGGGTTGTAGTAACTACTGAATGAAGTAATATATTTAATAATTTACAATAATATATTTAATTATTTGCAATAATAAAAGGTTCTGCTGCATATGTGAGAGATGATGCCAATCATTAATTCTCCAGTTATAAGGCCACCCTGACAATACTAAAGTGTTTATTAAAATCAGAGAAATTAACACACGTCATGATTCTCCAGAACACTAGGACTTTTCTTATATGGAAGTATTGTTTAAGATATCCTCAGTTATTCTGTAGTATATGTGCTTGTCAGTTGGACTTAATGGGCTAATATAAAATATATAGACTCATTTTGATTTCTAATCAAAGAAAAATTTTTATTTAGGTGAAAGGATAACTATTACTGTATTGAATTACCAGCTCTAGAAGGCAAAGATTGCTTACTTGCTAGAGCAAAGAAAGACTTTTTATTCCCATGAATATAATCTCCATTGTACTTCAAGAATATGGTAAATTTTAATTATAACTTAAAAATTGAATTAAAGTGGGCCTTTGCTAAACCTCTATTTCCTTATCTGTAAAAGGGTACCTACTCAACAGGCATTTTGTGAGTACAAAGGAGAGAGATGTGAAAGCATCTTAAGCCCCTTGGTGGAAAGGTGCTCTATAAAAGTCCAAGATTTTTTTGAATACTCTATAATAGAGAGTCTTTATCAACACATTTATAAAGTGCTGACATAAAATTTTCAGTCTTAGTTTGAAATGCTAGTCTAGTTATATGAAAATTACTTTGTTAGATGAAATTTTAGATCTAATTTCCATTTTGTTTTTAACAATTCGTGGGTATTTGTTGAACCTTCTAAATGCTTCTTTCTTGAGATGTTAATCAGATGTTAATTTCCTTAAAGAATCTCCAGAATTTCAAATAATAATGAACCAAATACAGAAAGGTTGAAAAAAATTTGTTAGAATTTTTTATAAGGTCTTTGTCACAAATAATGGTTGAATGTAAAAATAGATAAAAGGCATTACAGTCTGAGATTAAGAAAAAAGTTTTGCCTGTCTTTAGGTATATTTTAAATGTGATAATGTTACATGGTATTAATATTAAGTAATCTTCAGTTTATCTTCTGGTGAACCCAGTTTCCATTCTTATTTAGATAGAGAGGATTTCACCAGCATCTCTCTCTGTGTGAACATATGCACCAGTCAGTATGCAGAGGAGGCATAATGATGTGGAAACTATTTTCTACTTGATTTTGCTAATTCTTACATATATATTTCCTGTTATGAGTGGCTCCCTTGTGGAGAAAACTGGTATTATCACTTATAGATTACTGTAGGTTTCTTTTAGTGTATGTGGGAGAGAGAAGTAAAACAAGATCATTTGTCTAGACAGCATGGCTGATTGCGTCATTTTTTCTGCAAGCAAAACTATTGGTCTCCTGGATTTGGAATGGCCCCTGAAATTTCATTTCTTAGTTACTGTGATTATTTAACCATGCTGTAGGATTCACACGTGTGTTTTGCTTAAGTGAATTAACTTTTTATACAAAATATTTTCCTGGGTCAAATAGTACCAACTATTCATCTCGGTTCAAATTGGGGAACTTATTTGGGAAGCTTTATAGGTAATTACGTTGACTGTTAGTTGGAAGAATGTTTAGACATGGATTAGAAAGGATGAGACCTTTATTTTATGATTTTGAAGTTATCTTTATTTATATTACACTTGTTCAGTTACACTCCTCTTCTTCCCAGAGAAGGAATTCAAGTGGATAAACTTTGTTAAAAGTTAATGGAAATATTCTGGTGACATATAAAATTTAATAAGAATAAATCATGTAGATTCAGATTTATGAATCAATTGTTTTAGGCAGTTTTCTTTTGGAACTTATCACAGTACAGTTTGTTTTATGAAATTATGTAGTTTTCCAAGGAAAAGTTGTTTGTCATTACATTTTTGAGCCACTCTTGTTGGGAAGACTTGTAATAGATTTCTGATGATTATGACCTTCTGATGCGAAAACGTTCCTCATTTAGATTTATTTTAAAATTTATGTGATTACTTTTGAAATAAATACTAATTGTCATTTTTTTCTCTCACAGCTTCATATCCTCCAATTCAGCCTCATCCTCTAATAAAACATCAGCAGATTCCTCTTCATTCACCACCTCCCAAAGTTTCCCACCATCAGCTGATGCTACAGCAGCAGCAACAGCAAATTCAGCCAATCACACTTCAAAGTCCAACTCAAGACCCACCACCATCCCAGCACTGTTTACCACTCCAAAACCACGGCCTGCCTCCAGCTCCCAGTAGTGCCCAGTCACAGCATTGTTCCCCAATTCAGAGTCATCCCCCTCCTTTACCAGTGTCTCCTAGCCAGTCACAGTCAGCACAGCAGTCTGTAGTGGTGTCTCCTCCACCACCTCATTCACCAAGTCAGTCTCCTACTATAATTATTCATCCACAAGCACTTATTCAGCCACACCCACTTGTGTCATCAGCTCTCCAGCCAGGGTCAAACTTGCAGCAGTCCACTGCTAATCAGGTGCAACCTACAGCACAGCTGAATCTTCCATCCCATCTTCCACTTCCAGCTTCCCCTGTTGTACACATTGGCCCAGTTCAGCAGTCCACCTTGGTGTCCCCAGGTCAGCAGATTGTGTCTCCAGCATCACACCAGCAATATTCAACCCTGCAGTCCTCTCCAATCCCAATTGCAACCCCTCCGCAGATGTCGACATCTCCTCCAGCTCAGATTCCACCACTGCCCTTGCAGTCTATGCAATCTTTACAAGTGCAGCCTGAAATTCTGTCCCAGGGCCAGGTTTTGGTGCAGAATGCTTTGGTGTCAGAAGAGGAGCTTCCAGCTGCAGAAGCTTTGGTCCAGTTGCCATTTCAGACTCTTCCTCCTCCACAGACTGTTGCGGTAAACCTACAAGTACAACCACCAGCATCCGTTGATCCACCAGTGGTAAGCCCTTGGAAGCTCTTTGACTTTCTTGCCGACCTGAAAGTAAAAACAGTTTTCTCCCACGCTATGTTATATCATTAGATCTAAATGCCAATGAATTTAAAAAGCTTGAAATTTCCATCTGTCAGTATCTGACATACATGCTGTATGGGCAAAAAAAAAAAAAAAAAAACTTTTGTTGTAGTATGGTTGCATGCTTGATAATTTGTAATGGTTATTAAAGTCCCTCGTTAATTTTATTACTATTTAAACAAATCCATCTGCTATCTTTACAGAGTTGATTTTTTTTCCCCAAGGGAATGCATTTGAACCAGTGTCATCTGCACAAAGTTTTTTCTCTTAAGGTGATTATCCTTCATAGATCCCTTCTGTTGGCTTGTATGTTCTTAAACGTATGGTTTATCTAGCTAACCTTTTTGGTTGTATGCATTCTGAAGTATTAGGCCTTTATGGGGCTTTTGCTTCAAGGTGGAGGTATGCTTGTATGATGTAATTTTTTGGTAAACTTGTATTTTGTAATTAAAACTTTGTAAAAACCAGTTATTCTAGGAAAGAATCCAACTTTGCAAAAACAACATTAACTGTAGGCCATCTTTCAGAATTATTAAACTGATTTTTAAATTTCTACTAAGGGAGAATATATACTTAAAATATTTCTCATTTAAAAAGCTAAGAAAATCTCAGCGGATGAGTTGAATACTGAGGATGAAAAAATCCACTGGGAGGAGTAAAAGTTTTGAGTAACTGAGATTGTGGTGAAATTTATCAAAATAAACCTCTAGAAATGGTACATACTGCCTACAGAGGAAAATTATCCTGAAAAATGTTTTTCTTTTAAACATTCTATAAAGGACTTTTAAATTTATAAAATAATTTATAATAAAAATTGAAATAAGGTCTCTAAATGTTAGAATGATCAAATTCATAATTAATTTATAACTGAGGAAAACAATATTCTCAAGAGGTTTTATTTTTTTATTTTTACTTTTTTGAATTTTATTTTATTTATTTTTATACAGCAGGTTCTTATTAGTTATCTATTTTATACATATTAGTGTATACATGTCAATCTCAATCTCCCAGTTCATCCCACCACCACCACCACCCCCCAAAGGAGGTTTTATATCAAACCTCACTAAAGAGATTTTATCACTTAAAGGCTAGTAACCATAAACTCAGAAAGGAAAGGGGTTTCAAAGTCTGTTCCTTAATGGGAAACATTTTGGTGCTCAGGATGCAAATTTATAGATTCTTTATTCTTGTCATTCTGACTGATCTTAATAGGCATGAAGAGATTGAATTCCACTTCCTACTCACTTTTATTAAGAACAGAATTTGACAAAGACAACAATGGGCATCTAGAAATAAGTTTGTATTTCAATTATTATGTCTCTATATTTTCTTTTAATGTATTTTTGAAGAGTTTACAATGGATATTATAATATAAAAACACAGGCTTAAAAGTGTACAGTACCTTCAAAGAAATCAAATTTAATTTGAATTTATATTCTCACTTTCTAGTTCAATGAATTGGTTTTTAACAAGAAAAAAAATAAAATTTCTCTATATGCCTTATATTTTTCTAATTATTTTTGTTAGGGCAGACCTTGGAGGAACATGTTTGGGATAGAAATATCAAAAACATAACAACACTTGGATTAAAGTTAAAAATATCTAGGATCTTATTATTTTCTGCCCTCTATTAATTTTGTTTTTTTTTAAATTTATGTTACCTCATTTTTGGAATGGTTTTTTTTCATGAGAAGAATAACTTTCTCTGCTATCACTGGTATGGTCATATTTGCTACAGATGTTTCCATGTTATCGTTCTTATCTTTTACCTTTCTTTGAGTACCATAGCCTATTTATTAAATTGCTGTATTTTTCTGTTATTACCTTTATCAAATCAATTTTTTTAACCATCCCATTTCTTCATGAATTACACATTCGTTCACAATTTCCTGGTTGTTTCAAATATTCAAAGGTAGAGAGATACTTCTAAGAGATGTGAAATTTTCAAAGATAAGTGAATTTTCAAAGTAACATCAGTATGTTTTTTAAAAGATTTTTCATTGACATTTAGGTATGATAAGTAAGATATGGTAAGTGTAGATAATTTAGAACTAATAAATGTTTTCCACAGTTTATTTAGGGAAAGGAGACAGATGGGACTAATGTACTTTATTGAGGTAAGTTTGGCAGCCAGTGTTAGTTTTAGAATAGTCATAGTTATGAACTAAAGAGAAATTGTGATGTACAGTTTCCAAATGATCTTGTGAGCAAAACCTTCACTTCTTTGCTTTATTCAGTCTTTTAGTTGTCGCACTTAGATTTTTTTTATGCTGATGGTGCCAGATGTCTGTGACAGATTTGCTTTTGCCTACTTCTTTTATTCTTTAACTTACTTTGCCTTTACATGGGGGATGTGGAAGAAAGTATGTACAGTTAGGCTTACCTGTAAAGAACGAAAAATATTTTACAGTATTCTTTGTTGGATTATTTCAGAATATGTTATTTGTGTTTGCCTCTTTTAATCCTTTAAAACTCTTTCATTATATTTTAAAAATCAGAATACTATGCATGCTCATGCATGATCTTTGATTCCTTAAAAGGTACTGTAGTAGGTGTTTGAAAAACTTGTGACAGCATTAATATTAAAGAGAGAGTTTCAGCATTTTATGAAAAGATGATCTTTGGAAGAAAAGTAATATCTAATAAAGGAATGCTACATAGATACAGTTGAGCTGGTTGATACAACCATTACTTGCCTAATTACCTCTGAATCAACATCCCCACCACTCTGCCAAATTAAGGTAATCTCTACTACAGCAGGTGCCCCTCACTAGAAGTTTTTTGTTTTTTGTTTTTCCTTTAACCCCCAGGACATTTTTTTGGATGACTTTCCCTGTATTGGACATTATCATCATTTAAAAAAAATTATCATGAACAGATACTAGCAGCTATCATTGTTGCGCTGTACAGTAATGAACGACTGCTTTCACTCCTGAGGATCCAGACATGAGGCAAGGACTCTCTCTTAGTGAAACAGGTTTCCAGATTCAGGGTTGTGAGCAAATAACTTTTAAAAATGTTGCCTACTTAGTAGCTGATTCGAATCACAGCTCTGGATATTATATTTGATATAAAATTATCAGTAACAAAGGGATTTTTTAATTTAAAAAAAAAGAAAGCTATTTTTTTCTTAATAGATTATCTTGAAAAATTAGGGGGGTTTTTTGTTTGTTTTGGTTTTTAAATTCTATTGCTGTTGTTAGATATGCCTTTGTAGGTAAAACTTCAAGTCCTTTTTATCACACGTTGTTTATGCTGGTTTCAGAAATATTGATTGTTTTTATATTTAATTTCAAATCAAACTTTTTCAATAGTTTGATTAAAAATATATACAATATTAGATCATTTAAAAGTTTTTTGTGAATGTTGAAGAAACATTTTTTGTTTTGATATTTATTAGAAATATTAATCAGTTTGGGTAGGTTATCTTAAAAACTCACAACTTTTATAAATGTAAGTAATAAACTTTGTACATATAAGAAGGGGGTAAATTGCTTTGTGGCTTTGTTTTTGGTGACCTGTCATCTTTCAAAAATAATGATTAAATTAAAAAAAATGACAAAATAAATACCTATGTCAGTCTCTACAAGTGGACTTTGAAAATTCAGCCTTAAGTTTAATAAAAAATCAATAATAGGTTAGACGTTTTTAAAGTTCCTTCTCAGAGTACTTTTGAGTCCATGTTTTCTTCTTAAGTATTATCTTTACCATTGGATAACAAGGTAGTTAAAGATGTAACTTTCTTCTATAAGTATGGAACAATATTAAAGAACTAAAAGTAATATGTCAAATGGTTTAGGATGGGGGTGTGTGTGTGTTATTTCAAGGACAGATGTTTTCTGTTTAACTGATACTAGCTTATAAAAATTCATTAGATTCTTGAGTAGATCAGAAGATTAAACATGTAATCACATACCTTTTTTGTGGGTACTCAGACATTACTTTTCAAAATTTAATCTTTAATTCACATAAATATAATAAAGAAAAACCTGGGATGTAGTCCTTTAAACAGTGCATTTCCTTATATAATATGTGTCATTTTGGAGATTTACTTAACATGCTTGTGAAAAATATTAGTATCTATTTTGATTTATTACAGTGGAAGTTAACAGAAACTATAGTAAATTCCCCAAATAGTTGTTTGAGTGTATAAAATCAAAACATTTTAAAAAATTAACAAAATTAAAAATATGTCCTGACTTGACTATCACCTTTGGGAAACCTTAGTGATTTATAGCCTAGGTACTGATCCACAGCTTGCTTTCAGTGAAATATCATCAAGTATCATGAATCGTCAAGGAGTATGAAAAACTTCATTTGAATGATTTTAAAGTTTTCCTTTCAATCTGTCAAATAGTCATTTTGCCTTTTAATTTTTAAAACACTCGGAATTTATTTTGTTCATTAAATTAAGAACACCTTATCAAATGTACTTTAGAAACATTTTTAGGCAGCATGGTTTGTCGTTGCAGGTTTATCAAGTAGAAGATGTATGTGAAGAAGAAATGCCAGAGGAGTCAGAAGAATGTGTCCGAATGGATAGAACTCCACCACCACCCACATTGTCTCCAGCAGCTATAACTGTGGGGAGAGGAGAAGATTTGACTTCTGAGCATCCTTTGTTAGGTGAGAAAATGCCTGAATTTGGGGTAATTTTCTATTAGAGAAATGTTAGTAACGGAAAAAGGTTTTTTTCAATAGAGGTCGTATTAAACTAATTTGCTGTGTAATTAATTGCTGCAAAACATAGATTAGAATTCAAGACTTTTTAAAAATTAATTAATTTATGGCCGCATTGGGTCTTCATTGCAGTGCGCGGGCTTCCTCTAGTTGCAATGAGTGGGGGCTACTCTTCTTTGTGGTGCGCGAGCTTCTCATTGCGGTGGCTTCTCTTGCTGCAGAGCATGGGCTCTAGGCACTTAAGCTTCAGTAGTTGTGGCACGCAGGCTCAGTAGTTGTGGCTCGCAGGCTCTACAGCACAGGCTCAGTAGTTGTGGCGCACAGGCTTAGTTGCTCCGCGGCATGTGGGATCTTCCTGGACCAGGGCTCGAACCCGTGTCCCCTGCATTGGCAGGCAGATTCTTAACCACTGCGCCACCAGGGAAGTCCCAAGATTTTTTTTTTTTTTGATGAGGAATAATTAGAACAGTTGTTGAGGAGCTACCCAAATCAAAAACGTATTTCAGCCTTTGAATTTCTAGCAGTTTGTACAGATGTGTTTCATATGACCATTCAGATTTATGTGTCAAGCTATTTCTAGCTTAAAAACTAGAATAAATCAAAGTTCTATCAGAAGATTTCAATTATACTTTCCAAAAATCACAAAACATGGGCTTCCCTGGTGGCACAGTGGTTGAGAGTCTGCCTGCCGATGCAGGGGATACGGGTTCGTGCCCCGGTCCAGGAGGATCCCACATGCCGCGGAGCGGCTGGGCCTGTGAGCCGTGGCCACTGAGCCTGTGCGTCCGGAGCCTGTGCTCCACAACGGGAGAGGCCACAACAGTGAGAGGCCCGTGACCAAAAAAAAAAAAAAAAAAAAAAATCACAAAGCATTTGAAGTCATATCTGACATTTGTCATAATTGCGTGTGACCCAGACTGAGTAAATGCTTTTAAAAGTGTTCTTTCCCAGACAGTACTTAAATTAAGCCTCACTAATTCTTACTAGGGATGTGGATTAAAAAATTCTTGAGTTTAAGCATTCAAATTCTTATTCACTACTTCAGAACTACTTACAAGTTCAAGTAAATCTTCTCTATACTCCTCCTGATAATATCAAAGTGACTGTGAATCCTAGGTATTTTACTAAAACATTATAATCTATAGCCCGGTATCTAAGTCCTAAAAAAGATATATTCTGTGTTAGGGTTTTTTTTTTTTTTTTTTAGTATTTTATTTAGATCAGGGGTTGGCAAATGATAGCTCACGCTTCAGATCCTTCCTGCTGCATGTTTTTGTATGGCCAATGAGCTAAGTATGGTTTTAAAATTTTTAAATGTTTGAAAAAAAAATCAAAAGAAGAGTAATGTTTCATGTCATGTGAAGATTATGTGAAATTCAAATTTCATTGTCCATGAATAGAGTTCTATGCAACACAGCCACATTCATTTGTTCAAATATTATCTATGGCTACTTTTGCATTACTGCAGCAAAGATGAGTCATTGCAGAGACCATATGTCCTTTATAGAAAGTTTACTGACCACTTATCCAGATAATACTAATCTTGGTTCAGGCTTTGTTGTAAGTATTTTATTCTATTGAATATCTCATGGCCTTCATGATCACTTTCAGTTAAGACTAACCACTGTAACAGGCATGGAAACAGACTGTAACAGGGCACTGACTTTGCTACCAAAGCAGCCCTTGTCCTCTCTTTTCTTCAGCATGCCACATTTCTATCCCTTCTCTTCTTTCTAGCTTTTATCCCTTACTACCAATATGAATCTCTGGAAAGCATGGAGGGGGAAAACCAATTTTCCTCCAACTTTTTCCCCAACTTTTTCCTGAAAAATAGAAAACATTTAGTCAATAAAATTATATAAAATATTTAAGACAAGTTCAATATTATTGCCTTTGCTTATTCAAAATAATACCTCAAAAGATAGATTTAAGAAAATCTAACTATAGTATTAAATCTTTGTAGTTTGTATACACTGAAAATGGATTTATGTTGCTGCAGGTTTCTTGGAATTTTGATTTAAAGGCAGAAATATGTGTTTAATTGGATACTAACCTTGCATTGTGACTGTGATTTAATTGCCTAATAAGCATTACTAATGATACTCAAGAAAATTTAAACATTTTTCATATATTGAAACTCAAGAATATCTTCACATTATTTCCTCAGGAATGTAGTCTGAGATCCTGGCAGGCATATCCATCCCTCTGGCTAAATTGTCTAAGTACAATGTAGATTTTTGAATCTTCCTTTAATTTACTTCATACTTAACTAGTTTCTGTAGTATATGAAGGGGGAAAAGCAAGCACAGGTTGCTCATCAAATCATGTAATAAACTAACCTGTAAAAATAGAGGGACTTGTTTCCACCCAGGATTCGGTCTTCATAAATCTATAAGAATTCTTAAAAAAGCATCCATAAAAAAGAGTAGAAAAAGCTCATAGATCTTGCTCAGAAAACAAGACTGTGAATAGGCAGAGTAACCTGTGGCAAAGTCTTATCAGTTAACTTGGGGTTTCTCTCTCACAGTTGTCTTAAATCTAGAGAGTGTAGTAATTGTGGTTTTTTTGTTTTTTAAAAAACTAATTAATTAAATTTTGCCTGCGTTGGGTCTTCATTGCTGCTCGCGGGCTTTCTCTAGTTGTGGCAAGTGGGGGCTGCTCTTTGTTGAGGTGCGTGGGCTTCCCATTGCGGTGGCTTCTCTTGTTGCGGAGCACGGGCTCTAGGCACGTGGGCTTCAGTAGTTGTGGCACACAGGCTCAGTAGTTGTGGCTCACGGGCTCTAGAGTGCAGGCTCAGTAGTTGTGGCGCATGGGCTTAGTTGCTCAGCGGCATGTGGGATCTTCCCAGATAATCCATGTCCCCTGCACTGGCAGGCGGATTCTTAACCGCTGCGCCACCAGGGAAGTCCCCAATAATTGTGTTTTTGTTCTGCTATAATATGTCAATGTTTCTTGTGTTTTTGATTTTAACAGCTGATTATAAACTGGCAAGTCATAGCTATTAATAACTTTTTAAAGAAGTCAGTAACTTACAACTTTGTTTTCAACAAAATTTAGATCTATTTGTATGTATGATCCAAAAATTAGTTAGAACATATACTAAGCAGTATTTTCTGAATAAGCCACAATATACTTAATGCAGCTTTATATTTCTAAAGTAACCAAATATTTATAAATCTATAAGGGATATTAAAATTTATCTTAGTTTTCACTTCTCCATAGATTTATATTTTCCTTCCAACAGAAAAATTGCTTTTTAGTCCCAGTTCAGGATTATATCTTTTATCCTTTTCTTCTAGGAGTATGTGTGAAAATTGGGTATGTGGGGTAGGATTTTTATGGAGTTCTTCAGTCTGGTAATGCATGTGTACAATTGTGTATTTGTTCCTGGAAATAAGCAAACCAGTATTTCCTGCTGACTTTTTCTTCTCTTTTTTTTTCTTTTTTTTTGGGGGGGTGGCTGCGTTGGGTCTTCATTGCTGCATGGGCTTTCTCTAGTTGCGGCGAGTGGGGGCTACTCTTTGTGCTGTGCACGGGCTTCTCATTGCAGTGGCTTCTCTTGTTGCGGAGCATGGGCTCTAGGCGTGCAGGCTTCAGTAGTTGTGGCACGCAGGCTCAGTAGTTGTGGCGCACATGCTCTGCGGCTTGTGGGATCTTCCCGGACTAGGGATCGAACCCATGTCCCTGAATTGGCAGGCAGATTCTTAACCACTGAGCCACCAGGGAAGTCCTCTGCTGACTTTCTTTTGTAGTTCTTAATGAGGGATTGTGTGACTTTAAATAGCTTTTCCAGTACAGTTTATCCTGGTGGATTATTTGGTGGAACTAGGTTAAGTTATGGCTGTAATCTTGCTGTGATAAGCTACATAGTGTTATTAATTACGTCAGAGTTACTATGTCTGAACTGTTAGCTTTTCCATTTCTGACACTACACTGATAATCACTACACTATTTTGTTAGCTGAAATTTTTATTCGATAGGGATTTCTTTTCTTTCTTCTCTACCTAACTGAGCTATATTTTGAGCATTTTTGATAGTGATATCAATCCTTTTCATACTGATGGTGGAGAGGAGTTACTGTAGCAATGAAAAAAGCATTGTCTCCGGAACCCAGAACCTGACTGCCTGGGTTAGTATCCCAGCTCCACTGCTTATTAGCTGTGTGCCTCTAGGCAGGTTGCTTTATCTTTCTGTGTTTTGGTTTCCACATCTATAAAATGGAGATAATAACAGTACCTACCCATAGGCTAGTTTTGAGGGCTAAATGTGTTATAACATGTAAGACATTTATACAGTACCTGGCACAAAAGTGCTCAGTAAGTAGTAATATTATCTTTACCACATGTTCTTTTTTTGTTATTTTTCTCAGACATCTTGTACTCACTGGTATTCCTAGCTATCAGCTGGTTCCGCCTCTCCACTTTGGTACAGCTTAGTAAAGGTTTATTGCTACCGAATGGGGAGGTAAAGTCTCCATTGTAGGCTGTGGGTCTGTCTTATTGTGGTCCTCAGAGTTTGAAGGGGAGGAGTCACAGTGATCCAGCCCAACATTTTGCAATTGCCTGGTATACAGTGTTCCCCCAAATTGACATGTACGGTGTCAATGAAGAGTTGTTAAAGATAACAACAAAGAACATTTGTGCATGGATGTGAATTAGCTTGAAATAAAGGTAATGCCCTGTATAATTCATTAAAATTTCTACTTATTCTGTGGATTTCATGATTCTTTTTTTCTTAAGCGTGTTTTCAAAGTACTTTTTTCCCCCCATATCATTTGGAATATATAAACAGAAACATAGGGAATTTAATATCTGTATAGCTTAAAATTTTAAAGTTTTTTTAGTAATTATTCTTAAATTGACATTCTAAAACATTTTCATGTCTTATGGGACAGTTCTTTGTAACCAAAGTTGGAATGACAACTTTGAGCAAGTCACCCCCTTCCTCTGTAAGTGGGAATAGTAGTATGTATCTCATAAGGTTATTGTGGAGATTAAATGAGATAATAAATATAAAGGTCTTAGAATTTTCTTTAAAGCACCAGATATTAGCTGTTATTGTTACTAATATTTATTCTTGAATTTTCTTTCATATTTGCCTGGGCAGAATGCTAAAGATTAAAAAAATGACTTTTTTTTTTTTTGTTCCACAGAGCAAGTAGAATTACCTGTTGTGGCATCAGTCAGTGCTTCAGTAATTAAATCTCCATCAGATCCTTCACATGTGTCTGTTCCTCCACCTCCACTCTTACTTCCAGCTGCTACCACAAGGAGTAATAGTACATCTATGCCTAGTAGCATACCCAGTGTAGAAAACAAACCTCCACAGGCTATTGTTAAGCCACAGATCTTGACCCATGTTATTGAAGGCTTTGTAATTCAGGAGGGATTGGAGCCATTTCCTGTAAGTAGCAAGCAAATTTGTATTTTTACAATTATTCATGTAGCATTATCTTAAAATGTATAATCTGTTGTTATCTAATAAAAAGCTTGTAATTTTATCTCAAAAGTTGTTCATCTTTTATCTAGAATTTCTTTATGTCTTTTATATATTTCCAGATATACTTCTAGAATTTTACGCTAGCTATTTAAATGTATAAACTAAGAAGAAAACTTTCAGGATATAAGGATATCAGTTTTATAATTTTTAGAGAAGGCAATTATATGTTTACTCCAATGAAATAAACTTTCTATTTTTTTTAAGGGGCTTGAAATGATACCTAAAGTTCATTAGTTTCTTTTTAATGGTGTTTCTTGTATAATATGATACTTTGTGAACTTTAACTTGAATACAGAAAATAATGACTTCCCAGTGATCTCATACTTCTGATGTTACCCAGTTGATGCTTTAAAATTAGCAAATAGATCTTTTCATTATTCTTAAATCTCAGCCTTCAGTCAGATTTCAAAAATGCTTCAAAATGTTCACCTCAAAATTGAGGTGCTATATCTGTCACTAAGAGTATTGTGATTTGAGACTAGCTGTACATTACAGCTATACTAGATACATTACATACTAATATCCAGAGATGAACATTTTCCCTTAGAAAATATACCAAGACAAGTGGCCAAAATCAAAGCCCAAATCAAAGACAAGAAAACAAAATTATGTATTTTGGAGGACTTTGAACTATCTGATTTTTCAGATTCACAGGTAGTGCATTGTGATTGCACTGTGATAGTTGACTGTCTAATCAGTTGCCTTTGCTTTCAGTTTACTGTGTGTATATTAAGCTTGGATCTAAGAATCTCTGATATATAGTGAGTGGAGGAACAGGTTTTTTTCTCCCTATTCCTCGGTGATTGGATCTGGCTCTGCCACATATAGACTGTGTAACCTTTGTCAAGTCATTCAGCCTTTTTGAAATTCATTTGTTCATCCAGCAAATGGAGGTGATACTTTGCTCTTAGGGTTATTGTGAGGAATAAATGTGCATAAATTGCTGTGTAGTGCCTGGCACTTAATGGCCATAGCTATGATTATCAATTATTACTAGTGACAGTTACAACTTCTTTTTTCAGATTACAAAAGTAATATGTATTTTTTTAATGGAAAATTTGGAAAATAAAGAGAACAAATAATCCTCAGCAATACCACAGAGTATATTTTAATATATATATTTTTTCATATGATCAAGGTTATTATTATATATACAGTTCAGCTTCTTTCACTTAGTATATCTTGAGCATTTATTTTCTAGTTTGATTAATAGTACTTAGGAAACATTTTGAAAGGTTACATAATATTTCACTTTCTGGACAACTGTAATTTATATAATCCTTCCATTACAGTTGGCCCCCCATATCCACAGGTTTCACATCAGGGAGTCAACCCAATCATAGATCAAGAATTAAAACAAAAAACAGTCTACAAAGTTCCAGAAAGCAAAACTTGAATTTGCCATGCACGGGCAACTATTTACTTTGCATTTACATTGTATTCAGTATTATAAGTAATCTAGAGATGATTTAAAGTATATGGGATGGGACTTCCCTGGCGGTCCAGTGGTTAAGACTCTGGGCTCCCAATGCATTGGGTTCAATCCCTGGTCAGGGAACTAAGATCCCCTATGCCATGTGGTGTGGCCAAAAAAAAAAAAAAAAGTACATGGGAGAATGTGCATAGGTTATATGCAAATAATACTCCATTTTACATAAGGGACTTGAGCATCTGCGGAATTTGTATCCTCTGGAGTCTTGGAACCAGTCCCCTGCAAGTACTGAGGGACAACTATGTTGTTGGACATTCAGGTTTCCATTTTTTTGCTGTTCAGATAGCCCTGAAAGGAATATCTTTGTATGTAAATTATCCACATTTGAAATCCACATTTTAAATAATTTCTTTAGCATAAATTCCTAGAAGTATAGGTATTGGATCACATTACATATGTATTCAACGTATGTATTCATAAGACTCCTGATATATATTGCCAAATTATTTTCTGGAAGATTATTTAAATTTATTCATATACCAGAAGTGTATACTCTTAGCAGCACTGAATATTACAGTTTTTCCAGCAATGAGTTTTCCATTTTTTCTTTTTTTGATTATAATAGGTTGCTGAACTAGGGAGTCAGGAGACTTGAGTTCCTGATTCTGCTTTTGTAAAGAAATCACCTGCATATTTTTGTTTTTTTTTTTTTTTTGGATAGGCATGCCTTTGTTTTATTTTTTTAACACCTTTATTGGAGTATAATTGCTTTACAGTGGTGTGTTAGTTTCTGCTTTATAACAAAGTGAATCAGCTATACATATACATATATCCCCATATCTCCTCCCTCTTGCATCTCACTCCCACCCTCCCTATCCCACCCCTCTAGGTGGTCGCAAGGCACCGAGCTGACCTCCCTGTGCTATGTGGCTGCTTCCCACTAGCTATCTATTTTACGTTGGTAGTGTATATAAGTCCATGCCACTCTCTCACTTCGTCCCAACTTACCTTTCCCCCTCTCCGTGTCCTCAAGTGCATTCTCTACATCTGTGTCTTTATTCCTGTCCTGCCCCTAGGTTCTTCAGAACCTTTTTTTTTTGAGATTCTAAATATATGTGTTAGCATATGGTATTTTTCTCTTTCTGACTTACTTCACTCTGTATGACAGACTCTAGGTCCATCCACCTCTCTACAAATAACTCAGCTTCGTTTCTTTTTATGGCTGAGTAATATTCCATTGTATATATGTGGCACATCTTCTTTATCCATTCAACTGTCGATGGACACTGAGGTGCTTCCATATCCTGGCTATTGTAAAGAGTGCTGCAATGAACATTGTGGTACATGACTCTTTTTGAATTATGGTTTTCTCAGGGTATATGCCTAGTAGTGGGATTGCTGGGTTGTATGGTAGTTCTATTTTTAGTTTCTTAAGGATCCTCCATACTGTTCTCCATAGTGGCTGTATCAATTTACATTCCTACCAACAGTGCAAGAGGATTCCCTTTTCTCCACACCCTGTCCAGCATTTATTGTTTGTAGATTTTTTTTTTTTTTTCGGTACGCGGGCCTCTCACTGCTGTGGCCTCTCCCGTTGCGGAGCACAGGCTCCGGACGCGCAGGCTCAGCGGCCATGGCCCATGGGCCTAGCTGCTCTGCGGCATGTGGGATCTTCCCGGACCAGGGCACAAACCCGTGTCCCCTGCATCGGCAGGAGGACTCTCAACCACTGCGCCACCCAGGGAAGCCCTGTTTGTAGATTTTTTGATGATGGCCATCCTAACTGGTGTGAGGTGATACCTCATTGTAGTTTTGATTTGCATTTCTCTAATGATTAATGATGTTGAGCATCCTTTCATGTGTTTGTTGGCCATCTGTATCTCTTCTTTGGAGAAATGTCTATTTAGGTCTGCTGCCCATTTTTGGATTGGGTTGTTTGTTTTTTGGATATTGAGCTGCATGAGCTGCTTATAAATTTTGGAGATTAATCCTTTGTGAGTTGCTTCATTTGCATATATTTTCTCCGATTCTGAGGGTTGTCTTCCATCTTGATGTGGTTTCCTTTGCTGTACAAAAGCTTTTAAGTTTCATTAGGTCCCGTTTGTTTATTTTTGTTTTTATTTCCATTTCTCAAGGAGGTGGGTGAAAAAGGAACTTTTGGTACTTTATGTCATAGAGTGTTCTGCCTATGTTTTCCTCTAAGAGTTTTATAGGGTCTGACCTTACATTTAGGTCTTTAATCTATTTTGAGTTTATTTTTGTGCATGGTGTTAGGGAGTGTTCTAATTTCTTTCTTTTACATGTAGCTGTCCAGTTTTCCCAGCACCACTTACTGAAGAGGCTGTCTTTTCTTCATTGTATATTCTTGCCTCCTTTATCAAAAATAAGGTGAACATATGTGTGTGGGTTTATCTCTGGGCTTTCTATCCTGTTCCATTGATCTATATTTCTGTTTTTGTGACACGACCATACTGTCTTGATTATTGTAGCTTTGTGGTATAGTCTGAAGTCCAGGAGCCTGATTCCTCCAGCTCCGTTTTTGTTTCTCAAGATTGCTTTGGCTATTCGGGGTCTTTTGTGTTTCCATACAAATTGTGAAATTTTTTGTTCTAGTTCTGGGAAAAATGCCATCGGTAGTTTCATAGGGATTGCACTGAATCTGTAGATTGCTTTGGGTAGTATAGACATTTTCACAGTGTTGATTCTTCCCATCCAAGAACGTGGTATATCTCTCCATCTGTTTGTATCATCTTTAATTTCTTTCATCAATGTCTTATAGTTTTCTGCATACAGGTCTTTTGTCTCTTTAGGTAGGCTTATTCCTGGGTATTTTATTCTTTTTGTTGCAGTGGTAAATGAGAGTGTTTCCTTAATTTCTCTTTCACATTTTTCATCATTCGAGTTTGGGAATGCAAGAGATTTCTGTGCGTTAATTTTGTATCCTGCTACTTTACCAAATTCATTGATTAGCTCTGGTAGTTTCCTGGTAGCATCTTTTCGATTCTCTGTGTATAGTATCATGTCATCTGCAAACAGTGACAGCTTTACTTCTTTTCCGATTTGGATTCCTTTTATTTCTTTTTCTTCTCTGATTGCTTTGGCTAAAACTTCCAAAACTGTGTTGAATAATAGTGGTTAGAGTGGACAACCTTGTCTTGTTCCTGATCTTAGAGGAAATGGTTTCAGTTTTTCCCCATTGAGAGCAATGTTGGCTGTGGGTTTGTCATATATGGCCTTTATTATGTTGAGGTAAGTTCCCTCTGTGCCTACTTTCTGGATGGCTTTTATCATAAACAGGTGTTGAATTTTGTAGAAAGCTTTTTCTGTATCTATTGAGATAGTCATACGGTTTTTCTCCTTCAATTTGTTAATATGGTGTATCACATTGATTGATTTGTGTATATTGAAGAATCCTTGCATTCCTGGGATAAACCCCACTTGATCATGGTGTATGTTCCTTTTAATGTGCTGT